GCTGGGTGCACGTCGGCGAAAGCCCGTTATGTGGTTTTGCAAGCCGCATCAGTAGCAGCAGCGAGCAGTGCGCAACCGAACCCATTTCTCCTCAGCCGATAGTTGAATGTTGCAGTCCGCAATGGTGTGCTGAGAACTGCTGCATAAAGGGCACATCTCTTCTGTTACTGTAACAGATTCAGCAGCAAGTGCAGACGCCGTAGGCAAATGTCCCACCGGTGCCGACGGAGGTTCGACCTCTTCAGGCTGCAAGCGTGAGAAACCAGACGCCGTTTGTTCTGGCCTGCTTTCCTCTCGAACCTCAATCTGAATGCGCAGAAAATTGAGGAATTCAACAGCCTGGTGAGCTCTCTGTTTAGGTGTCGCGATGCCGGACGTTTCCTGCAGCACTTCCTGCACCTTGTGGCGGTAGAGAATCGCAAGATCGACCGGCAGACACTTCATCAAGATGCGGTTGAGGACCACGTTGTACTGCTATGGTGGGACACACAAACCGGTCACTGCGGAGACTCGAAAGTTGACCTTGTAGAGCAGGCGAAGCTTCGCCACGTCTGCCGACGACTTGACTGGCGCTAAGGCGAGCAGGTGGTCAACGTGCTCGTTGACAAGCAAGTTGTGTCGACCAAATTGCTCCGTCAAGGTCTTAATCGCGATGTTGTAATTATCTTCGGTTAGTCGGATGCCCTTGATTGCCCTCTTTGCTGCACCCCTTAAATACGACTGAAGGTACCTGAACTTCTCGATCTGTAAAAGGTCTTCATTCAGGTGAATTGTGGCACTGAAATGGTCCCAGAAAAACTGCCAATCGCGAAGTGCGCCGGGAAACGTGGGGATCTGTAGTTTTGGCAGGACCACCGTGCGATGACGCGGCATCGTTCCTTGACTGGGAATCGCATCGGCTACTCGAGACGAGTCACTGACCTGACTTTGGGCTGCGGTCCCGGGACCACCAGTGTCGTCGTTCGGTGATGTAGCCACCGACCTCGCAGCACTCGTTACTGTCACCTTGTCTGCGGCCTCTCGGAGGAAGAAACGTGCTCGTGACACGACGTAAGAGACCCTTTGGTTGTACTCTTCCGCGACCTCGAGCCCTTCCTCGTAGTCGTCGTCAGTCGCATAGAAGATTTCTTTGTTTAAAGTGACGAGTTTGGCTTTCTTCAGAGTGAGGTAGGCAACGTGGGAGTCGACCTGACTGGCATTGGGAATGGAGGCTTGCAGCTCGTCGGTCAGGAGCGTGATAGATGTGATAGCATCACACTGTGTGCCAGGCCTGTCATCGATTCTTACTCAAGCAGATAGGAACGCGCCACTCATCTTCAAAAAGCAGGGAGGAACTTCCTTAGGAATGCAGGGGGGGGGGGGGGGGGGGCATTGTTATGAACTTTGGGTGTGATCACTGGCACTCGCGCTAATTCAGCAGGAATTAAAAACGGCTGTTATACCCTTCTATCTTGTACTCTCAATGCGAACAGACTGTTCGTATCTTGGTTGGTATCGCATTCATTGCTAAGAGCCTAAGTGAAACTAAGAAATAGTATCTTTTGGGCACGACGTCGCATAACTCAGATGAACGCTGGCAAAGGGACAATGATCACTCCAATCGCCGAAGCGGTTTTTGCACTGTCAGTTATCTAAACGCGAAGCAGAGGTTACAGTAGCGCAGAAAGTTTACGAGCATGTCTCATTAGGCTTCGAGATAGCGCGCTGGCAAATGCGCCCTTCAAGCGACGCAGCTTCCACCCCCCCCCCCCCCCAAACGAAGCAATGAATGCGATGACATGATGTTTATTTTTTTTAACCCTCAGCTATTGACCTTGGAAAGCGAGAGGCGGACGTGTAACAAGGCGTAGCCACTTCACCGTGGGCCTTCCGACCCCAGAGCCGCCAGCGATAGCCTCCCTATTGAAAGCTGTGCGTATTAAAACTGAATTCTGGCTGCTTCGACCAGAATGCATGCTCTTAACAATAAAATGACATTAAAAAAAGCATGCAAAAATTTTGAATACGGACCCTAGAAATCTCGAGTTCGAAATGGCTGGGTATTTTAGGAGCTTTCACCACAACAGCGATTACAAACCTGGATGTGCTGGTGGAAATAATTACGAAAATAAGCTTCTGAATAAAGATCCATGAAAAAAGTATCTCAAAGGAAAAGTGTCAACGCGTTTCCACCGTGCATGTGTTCTTCTGTGGATGCGAAGCGCAGGAAATTGGACCGCTCATAATGTCCAGAGGTAGACCTGACACACATTCTGGCTGCTTTGTACACGTGTAGTTGTTAATGAAAATTGCTTTAACTACATGCTGCACAACTCTACAATGGAGCTATCAGCAGCGTTTCTGGAACGACGCCCGCCGAAGAGTCGCTTTCCCAGTTTCACGATACAGATTGTAATACAGTAGAATCTCGTTATAACGAAGCGGGATATAACGAACTAATGGATATAACAAAGCAATTGTAATTCTCCTTGAAATACCCATAGACGCCCATGTATTTAAAACCTCGTTTTAACGAAGCGAAAATTTCCTCACAATGGATATAACGAACCATTCTTTGACCACAACGAGCATTTACTGATCATTTTGGTATACGTGAATTCAATATCTTATAGCGCGCGCCGGTTCACGTCCCATCACGGCAGCGGTAAATCAACACGTGTAGTTGTTAATGAAAATTGCTTTAACTACATGCTGCACAACTCTACAATGGAGCTATCAGCAGCGTTTCTGGAACGACGCCCGCCGAAGAGTCGCTTTCCCAGTTTCACGATACAGATTGTAATACAGTAGAATCTCGTTATAACGAAGCGGGATATAACGAACTAATGGATATAACAAAGCAATTGTAATTCCCCTTGAAATACCCATAGACGCCCATGTATTTAAAACCTCGTTTTAACGAAGCGAAAATTTCCTCACAATGGATATAACGAACCATTCTTTGACCACAACGAGCATTTACTGATCATTTTGGTATACGTGAATTCAATATCTTATAGCGCGCGCCGGTTCACGTCCCATCACGGCAGCGGTAATTCAAAACTCGCGCCTTGCGCCGCCTGCCAACACGCGCGTGGGTGCACGTCGCCCTGCCTCCCCTTTCCTCAGGAACTAATGGACTCGCCCGCGCAGCAACTCGCGCGAGCGTGCGCGTCAGCCGACCTCTCCTCTCCTGTGGAACTCGTTGACCCGCCCGCGCATCTGACCTCCTCCTTACCTCAGCTCCACGCTGGGTCGGCGGAGATTGCGGCTTTGTTGGCTTTGTGCTTGGTTCCTTGTCGTTCGCTGTGGAAGAGCAACACCCCTCCGCCGCTAGACATGGACAACGGCAAACGTAAGCGCAAAATCATCACAATTGAGCAGAAGTCTGCAATGTTGAGAGCCGTTGAGTCTGGCGTCAAGAAAAAAAAAGTGGCCGAAGATTTCGGCGTATCGTTGAGCACGTGCATAATGATGACAGTGACGAATGTGTTGACACCCCGGAGCCTAACGAACCCGACGTACCGACGCCCGCGCAAGCGCTGGATGCGACAGACCTGCTGCGCCGCTTCTTTGGTGCTCATGATGACGGTGAGGACGGACTTGAAATAGCGGCTGCCGCTGAAAGAGCAGTCATCCGCTTGAAGAAGAGTCGGCAAAAGTCTATCAAGGACTATTTTTCTTCGAAGTGATCTGCCAGCTGGTGTGCTGAACTTGGCGGAAATAAAGTGCATTGTTCTTTATTATTTTGCTAGTTTTTTGCCTTCCAACGGCCGTTTTTCTCTGCGCGGCGGGCTGCTGTGATATTCGGTGGTGAGTACATTCTCTCTTGCTGGCTAATTGTCGGTAGAAATGGATATTGGCTATAACGAACTAATGGTTATAACGAAGTAATTACGACTCCCCCTTCAACTTCGTTATAACGCGGTTTGACTGTAGATGTCACGAGCCCCTGCAGAGAGCGCGTTACACTGTTAAGCAGACTTGCCCAACAGAAGTTGCGTCGGCACCAAACATAGCAGTGGATTATTTAGGAGGGGCGCACGACCGCCGTTAATTCAGCGAAATAATGCTGGGCATGTAATTGTGACTTTGGTGGCCCCGAGAACGAGATGCATATGTTTTGACGCGCCGGCATGGTTATTGCTGGTGATAGACGCTCCCAAATTTGACTTTGGCGCAATTTTCGTTGATATTATCAGGATGGTGCAGTAAATCTGATTTGGTGCACTTTGGCGCAGTTGGCGCAGGAGTGGGATCACTGCAAATGACCGTAGCATTTTGCTATTGGCAACAACACATTTTGCTATTGGCCACAAAAGTGATAACCGCTGTAACTGCTTATCGCTGTCATGAACCAATGCGAGGGAAGCGTATTGTTCATACACGGAACAATGGGAAGCTCCAGAATCACGGCGCACGTATGTGCCAGTAGGTTTGTCACGTGATATTTTTAAAAATTTTGCAGGCTTTTGCTGTTAGCAAAAAAGCACTAATGATTAACAGATATGAAGTTCAAAACTGCCTAATGAATGTTTTGCAAACCGATCTACAACTTTCTCATTCAAATTTTTTCATCCATCTTCGTTCCTTCAAAAGTTAATTAAAAGGGCCTAATTAAACTGCTCATCAGAACACAAAAATAGTCTGGCTCACTCCAGGGAACAGTCAGCAACATGCATTTGATCACGTCGTCATTGCGTGTATCAAAATATTTTTAAACCCTGGTTAAAGATAGCTGGGACACTCTGTATAAACCATACGCGACTATTCGACATATGCCTAAGCATGTGTACAACTATTTCACATATATTTAGCGTCATTTCAGTTTTGCTCAATTAAAAAATTACCCCACAGTCACCTTCCCGCTCCAAAATTCAGACACAATTGGAGAGAAGGTGAGCCTACACCAGATTCAGCACTGACAGTAGGCTTCATTTGAGCAGCTCAGGAATCTATGCAACTACTGAACACTGTTCCTTCTGCACTGCTGGTATACTGGTAAGGAATGATGCACACACCTGTTGGCGGAATTGTAGCCATCTTTCATCATCCCTGCCAGCCGTCTGGAACCAGTCCTTGTAAAGTCTCCCTGCATGAAAAAGGGACACATGAAAGAGTGGTAACAAAAGATATGTAGCAAAAGATAAGCAGCAAATTAACATAGATACAAATTCAGAGTCATATCAGTATCGACAAAAAATAGACTATCACACACAAGGTGCAGTTAACGATGCACAAATATATAATAAAGAACTGTTGCTTTATTTTTAAGCTCCCTTCAATGATTATGAGTAGGAACTACCACTTCATACAAATTTTTAACATTCAATGTTAAAAAAAAAAGCTTAGATTACAGGGACATTAAAGAGCGACACAATTTTTCTCATTGTTCGGCGAGATAGCTGGAAGAAGGAAGTGGAGTAGAGCACGCGGCTGAGTATGAATGCATGAATAAGGCGACAGAGGTCACCCTCCTTCATGTCATCCACTCTAGCACTATCACATTGGTGCCATAATCATGGCCGTACCTTTATTTTGATGAAGCTGCACGTTGCATCCATGCACAGCATGGATTTGGCAGCACTTTTACAAAGAAGATGGCACAGTTGTTGATTTTGTTAGTTTACAGCTTATGCAACAGATAACATAATCCTCCCTGGCAACTTTCTCACTAAGCCTCTTCGTATAATTGCTACATTCATTCACTGTGCCTGTCATGGCTTTATGTTCAAGCGGCCTGCATTACCCAGACAAGAAGTTATCCCATGGGATGTTTGGGCCACATGGGAGGCTTCATGTCAGGGCTGTCCTGACAAATTTTTTTACATGTGCAAGCTTGAGTTGGCAGCCAAAATAATGTGGTGGTAGTTGATGGGTGTTCCTGCATTATAATTTCAGATATCAAAGGACAATAAAATTCCTCACTCAAGTTCACAAACTTCCCGATTTAACAAAATAATTCGAGCATGACCATAGCTTTGTTAAACAGAGTATCAAGTGTTTCAGATAATGATTTATTGATTTCCAGTCATGATATTGTTCCAGCATAACTGAATGAGCTAAATGTATTGAGAGTCTAGTTGTTTAACCATACCCAAGTTTTCTTTGAATAACAATACAGTTGTAACAAAGAAGTAGCGCGTCATAAAGAGCTCCGCAGTCACATCTTTAGCGCTAAGCAGAAGAGGCTTCTGAAGGATGTTGTTGCTGTTCTTGCTGGCTAATCCTACACTACTGTGGTGCCTGAATTGAGTTCCACTTATCAAGGCAGTCTCAGTTCTTAGTCATACAGTGATTTTTGCACATCAATATACTTGAGGGGGTATCTAAAAGTAACCAAAATAGAACTATCCTGGGCAGAGGAACTAGTGCAAGCAATTCGATCACTAGGCAAACGCTGTGCAACTCCTTTCGAATTCGTAGCATATGGTGGTTTCTCCCAGAAAGCTTTTATCTGGATTCAGTTATTTTTTCGTGAAATCAATTGCAACGTATTCCTAGTTTTTTTGTGACGGCCAATTTAACTGAAAACAGTTGATCCTGAATATATCTAACTCGAAGGATATCGCGAAATAATTCAATATATAGAAAATTCGAAACACAAGAAATATGCATATTTAAGGCCTAGATTGAAGAATTTCAGGCCTCTGAAATCTTTACAAGAGTTAAGATAACGATTCGCTCAAAAAAAAGGTGCAAACTGTAGGTTACCTCACTTTATTTAGTCCGTAAACTTGTCTTGCTTCTTGCGCACTGTCAAGTTCTAGTCATCCTTAATATCATTGAAGCTTTTCAAATGAGCAAACTCAGCTCGTCCGGCCACGTCGTTGGTTGACGCAGAACGCCGATAGAAGCTTTGTAGTGCGGCAAAAGCTTGGTTAGCGGCGGCAGCAAAGGCGTTTGCACATTCATCATACACGCACGAGTACACTTCTGTGGCACCGGCAGCCAAAATCTCAGCATCAATGCAGTCAGAAACAGCAACATCGACATCTGTTCCGATGACGTCGTTACTGTCCGAGATGGTGCCCGGAAATGCTGATAAGTCGCAGAATTCACTGAGGCACCGTACACCATTGTCAGTGGTCATGACGCACCCGAAGTCATCACCTGGCCCGCAAAGAACTTTTACAACACAGTGTTTTACTTGACATCACTCCAAGTGCCAGTCATAATTTTTATCGCTGCGTGCGGGTCGACATTCAGTTAAACTCCCGTGAGGGTTTATCAGGAATGAGACGAGAAGTGCACAAGACCACAAGGCGCAAAAGACGCAATGCTGAGTTCGTCTGAGTTCTCACCATTGACATGTTGGTGACATCAATGTCACTAAGGCTTTGTAGCTGGCAGCCACTGCTTTTAGCGGCTTTGATGCGAAAAGACTGAAAAAAAAGCGTAGCCTCCGAGACAAGTCTTTTGAGACCGAAAACACTAAAAATAGATGACAAGGTAGCATATTTCGAAGGCCATACTTTTCAGGCTTGCATGCCATTTTGAGCTAACAACAAGGAAGGGAATGCGAACAACATTCGCTGAGTCACTGAGTCACTTCCCATTCTCATTTCGGTGCCCTCGGCAATCAGTCTTGAAAAAATTATGTCCGCGTGCTAAGACCTGCATATCGTGCATCACACGTACGGATGTAGCAAGTGCCGCGCGATGAACCAGATCAGCGCAATGGAATAACACTTGCTTGTTTCGTCGCCTGTGCGTGAAAAAGGATCGCAACTTCTTAAAACGCAGCCTAAAATTGATCAATATTTGCTATAAAAATGCACTTTCTGGGCTACGGTGCGGCGCAGCATTCGATATAGTGGATGTCCCGCTGTGCAGGAGTTCGATATACGGGTGCACCGGTCCCATACTTTTGCATAGAAAGTTCAAGGGGATTTTCAACTGTTCGATATAGCCAATAATTCGATATATCTGAGTTTGATAAATCAGGGATTGACTGTAGTGTGGATGCGAAAGCTTGTTTCAGGAAGGTGAGAACTGTTCAATGTCTTCTCACAAGTCGAAGCACTGAACAGGCAGTTAGGGTATTTTCGAGGCTTTTCTTTCACATCACAGCTTGCTTTCGCTACACCATCTCTTTGCTGATTTGTCCAAATTTGTCTGTTGAAAGTTGAGGCAGAAATCTCTCAACCCTTCTCATTCCCAAATCTTCTGCTAAAATTTGCTGAACCAAGCCCCAAACTGTACCAGATAACTTTTGTAGAACCGAAAGACGGGCGAGTTGCAGTTAATTCATCGCAGGTAGCGCAAATTGAAAACATAAAAAAAGAAACAGGACAAGTGCTTGTCCTGTTCCCTTCTTTTGTGTTTCCTATTTGTGTGCCACCCACGATGAACCAGGTAACTTCTTCAACTCCTTGATGATTCGTCATAGGTCTTTCAAGGGACTGTCTACCGTCCTTCATTGCTCTTCTGTTTCGTGTTGCAATAAAAAACGCACCACGTGAAGTGTCCAACCTTGCAGTACAAGTACTTTAGTGGCTGTTTTAGACACACACACTTTTTTGTTGTTTTCATGAGCGGCAGCGGACACCGTTGTTGCGTTTCTCTGCCATTTGCAAGCGAACACACTGCCGGCAGCGCCACTGGGCGCCTATATGAACGCGTGAGGAAAAAAAAAGCAAAAATTGGTCTCTGGCACAACATAAATCTGCTTTAAGGATGGATGGATGGAAACAACTTTATTTTGTATCCAGCAGCTAGGCTTCCGCCTAGGTGTCGGGTAGAAGGTTTTACCTCCTAGCGGCTTCCTCGGCCCGCTGGATTGCCTCAAGTGCATAAAATACAATTTCAAGTTAAATGTGCTTGTTTTTAAGCAATAGATGTCTACCTGCGAGGATATCTTGTCCCATTAATAGATTGTCAAGATTGACCACATTCACTGTTGGGTGACACTAGTGGTCACTTTTTGTCTACTTTCAACATAAAGTTAAAATTATAATTCCTTTTTTTTTTTCTGGTACAAAAGCATGCTCGTTGCCGTGGATGTGATAAAAAATTTTTTATTTGCGTCACAATCATAAAAAGTTTTTAGAGCGGTAGACAGTCCCTTTAAAGTCAATGTTCACCATTGTTTTTATGCCTTCACAATTGCAAACAAGAGCCCGTCATTGCGGTAACTTCCTAAACCAGTGATTAAAAATGTTTATGGAAAAAGGTGACTTTATAGTGTTGGAACGTCATTGTGACATAACCTACCAGTGCAAGTGAAACAACATAATGCTTTCATATAGATGCTTAAACGTCATTACAAAGAGCTCCATTAGACTACTGATAAGTTTAGCGAAATGATGAAAAGTGACATGATGTTAAACTAATCTTTTGTATGCTTACCAGGGATGGTATTACCAGATGTACAGAAATATTAAATGTATTATAACGCTCCGTATGCAAATCGAAAATGTGTTCGAACTGTAGTGTATAAGTGACATGTTTTTGAAAACAATCTGCATCTTATGCTAAAATGTCGTTTATTGTATAACTCTATCTCTTGCCTGTAATATATCTATATTACAATTGCACGGATCCATACTATCATTAAGCTAAGGATCCTGATGTTGCTAATTTGTTTTCCTTTAGTGTATTTTGTTTATTAGTAATAAAGTTCAAAGTACTCGAGCGACCGATCGACCCCCCCCCCCCCCACCCCCATCTCTTTCCCCACCCTACATTTTTTCATGCCCGTGCAAGAGACGGCAGTTCTATAGCGCGGAGGTGTTATCGCATGCGCCCTCTAGGCGATAGAGATAGGCCGGCTCATTTGATGTCTGCTTCAGCAGTGCTCATGCACTTTTACCGGCTTGTAAAACTCAGAATGCGCGGTGGCATGTTATCAATTTAGACTTGTCACGAAACATGGCGGCGACAGCAAAAACCCACTGAGAGTGTCCATATAGTTTCTATCGCAATAATAATGCAGTTTTTTGCCGCTAAATAGGTGTTTTGGGTTAGCTCTGTAATTCTCCTTTTGTTTAATTTGCGAGTTTATTTTTCAAATTCTTGTATCAAACCTGCATATAATAAAATCCTCTCTATAACAAATTTTTCAGGGAATTGGTCAATTTCGTTATATCCAGGTTTAACTGTATTACATTATATCCCAACATATAGATATTTATAACAATTTGTTGGTTTTTAAGCAAAGCAAGAGCTAAATGCAAGAGTTTAAGAGCTAAATAAGCAGACTGTCAGTGTTTCGGGCGACTCAGATAATCTTGCATTGTCTGACATTTAGTTCCATAAAACATATTTAGTGCCAGGTGGCACAACAACTATATCATATTTGTTAGTATAGGTTTTGTGTGCCTATATATAGTTGTGATAAATAGAGAGACACAGTAATTTTGGGACATCTGAGGCAAAATTATTGGCAACATTAAATGTTGAAGCAGGTTTTCCTTGAAACCGCAGACCAAATTTGATTCAGTAATTGATTTATCATAACATACCGGCTTCACTGAGGTGTGTATTATCATTTTTTGTCTAGGGATCAGGAGAACACATGCTTTGCTATCAGCATTAAAAATTGACATCAGAATAGATGGCAGGCAGTGCGAGGAGCGTGCTAGCCCTTCATTTGCCAGTATGCAAGCAACTTCGTCTTTGCAATTGCTTTGTGCATTGAGTGGAGATGCACTAGCACTCCCACGTACTATTAGCGTGCTGCCAGGGCCAAGACATGTCTGCATATAGGCTAACGAGATGGAAAATGTTGAAGACAGTAGGCAGCCTTTAGGCTTGCCTATTAATTTATCCGTAAGTAATAAACAAATTGGCTACTAAATACACCAAAAACGAACTTCAGTGTAGCCAAAAAGTAGTCGTGATGCCAACCTGAAACTTGGTCATCAGATGGGGTCCTAATGTAGCCAATTGGGAGCAAAGAATCCACAAACTGCAACCCTGGTTTTGTGATACATTTCATTCAATGCATTTTAAAGCCATATAAGTCAAACTGTTGCACTGCATAAATTCGGATAATTCATACTTTCTGCTTGCCCATGCCAAAAATACCTGCTGCCCTTGTTACTTTCACATGAACACTTCTATATTTACATCAGTCACAGTCTCGCAACTAAAGCCGACTATGATCCCACAATGTGGCCAGAGTGGTGAAACTAGGCAAACAAAGCACACCAACATCATGCCTCATGAGGAATAATGCAAAAAAAAAAAGGAACAAGTTCACATTAGCCATGTACAGCTTAAGAAACAGTAAAGCTGGTTGATCTTTCCTGATTAACAATGCCTTCTTGGCTGATGCTAGGCGCAAAGTAGAGTTGAACCACAGCCTGTCGGCAATCATACAAGAATGTCCAAACTAACATGAAACGCTGGCAGTGACACCCTGGTAGAAGCATGAGCCTTTTGTCACTCGTACTCGGCTAGCGTGGTGGGCAAACTCAGTGTGATGGCTGTGTGGAGTGTCTCCGTCAGCAACAACATATGATGAGTAATGGCGCAAAGGGTTTTTTCAGGACACCTGACATTTGACCTCGAGCTTTAAGAGCAAAAAGAAACCACGATGGCCTGGCCTTCATCAATGACATGCGGAATACTTATTGTGGCAGTACACTGTTGTCATGCGGAGAAGCATACTAGAATTGGGAAAAAACCACCAGCTGTCCCGAAAAAAAAAAAAAACGCATTTGTCTCTTAAGTACAAGTGCATGCAACATGTAACAAGTATCAGTATGGTCATTGACAATTAACAACTTTACTGGCAATCATTTATAATCTCGATAGACAGATAGATAGATAGATATGTGGGGTTTAACGTCCCAAAACCACTATATGATTATGAGAGACGCCGTAGTGGAGGGCTCCAGAAATTTCGACCACCTGGGCATCATTTAGAATCTCCAATAAGATTGCTGCAGCCCTGAGAAACAATAAATAAATGCGCACACATTTTTTCTTGCCCTCTCGCCCTTTTTTTTCTCAGCACTCCCCCTCGCTTTTTGAATCTCCTGAACTTATCTTAAAAACCACAGGTTTATTGGTATGTAAATGTGAAAGCTTTTACTCCAGCACAAAATGGCACATTCGTTCAAATGATACATATGAGAACTTCTGATACTTCAAACTCATTCCTCAGTTTTCTAGAGTTTCCAAGTGATACTTATGAGAACTTTTGATAATTCAAACTAATTCCTGACTTTCCTACAGTTTCAATCGCGGTGCCAATACAATCAAAACAACAATCCTGCGACCATAAAATACAGACCTTGAGAGCTACTGTGCCTGCATACTGGCGACTGATAATGTCCCCATTGTTGGCCCATAACATTTGGAAAATGCGCCGGCAAGCTGTAGGTAGCACTCCCTCAGGTGGCAGCAAGCCCAGTCGGACAAACTGGAAAACATAAGTTGATTCAGAATGAGTAAATGCAAAACGACACATTTAGGGTGTGACGCATGGGAATGCTCAGTTTAAAACAGCATAAGTGACAGCATAACTGAACTCCTAAGTCACATATGACTCAAGAATTCAGGGTTTTCATGGATAGCACTTTTGGGGTATGTGTGTGGCCAAGTTTAAGTACTACATTTGCACTTCATTTACTTGGTCAATTTAATTATTGGAGCCTGCATGTTCATTAAAGAACAAGTAAGGGGGCTAATCACACAAAGTACAAAGTGAGAAATCAGTCAAATAAAAACATGCAAATGTACACCCATATGGTATACAAAAATAGACAATAATAAACAAGTTTAACACCATGACAATGAAAAATGTAACACAGTGCTTTGGGAACCATTGTTGTACTGCATTATGAATGTGATTATTTTAGGCATTAAAATATGTTGCTGTCATTATCACCCCATTTTTTTGTGGTCTTCTGCAATCTAGGGTCTTTCGGGTCTTTCGTAGATCTGACCACCGCCTTGGTCAGTTGCTTTGCAGCTGCTGGGAACTGAGGACCGAGGGTCAATTGGTGTATTCATATCTATATGTTTGATTGGGCGAGTTGGCAATACATGATTGTTTGAAATAAAAGTGCACTACGTAGACGCGAACAGGATAGACAGCGCTTGTCCCTGTCTATCCTGTCCGCGTCTACATAGTGTGCTCTTATTTCAAACAATAGTGTATTAATGTGGTAGGTAGTCGCCAAGTACTGCACCCAGTCATGCCACCAAGATCTTTGGATTTGGAGCAATTTTCGGAGCAGCAAAATTTTTCATTTGGAGCACTTTAGAGCCGCAAAATTTTCTATCTTGAAACATTTTGGAGCAGCAAAATTTTTCATTTTGGAGTAATCTGGAGCAGCTAATTTCAAATGCTGGAGGAGAAGCAAGTTGCATTTACATTCAAGGAAATGAAGAATTATTCTGAGGCTCTTGTGAAGAGCTAGAAATATTTAGATTCGCTGCAAATTTTATGGAGCCAATCATATTAGAAGCAGTCACTATTTGAGTTGATGATGCAAGAATAATGGTGTCGCTGTTGAGCATTCTGGAAAAACTTGTTCAGTGATTATTTCCGTAGTAAATAAACAGAATACTGGTTGAATAAAATTGTACTTCATGAAATCACAATGTAAATACAGCTACGTCGTTATCAGCAGATATGGTAGACAAACGCTGTGACGTACAACGCTAGAGTCTCGCAAGTGTATTTCCCTAAGATGACTTCAAGAATAAAAAAAGGTTCTTTTTCTTAACGACTAATTAGACTGCTGGTCGTGATATGATGTCATCCAACTAGTCTCAGAAAGCCAACCTCCTTCAGCACTCATCTTTGAGCTGAAACTGCACCAGTAAACAAATGTCACTTTTCTTTTGCAGCAATATCTCATGTGGCTAGGGCATTCTGTCTATAAACCCCCTACCGTGTTCTCTAGAAAGCAGTGCATAAAAAAATCTCCCAGTGTACCTTATGCATACGCCTAAGACAACTGGAAGGCAACATCTATTTTGTTTTATTGCAATAGCAATTATATGGACAGTGTCGGCTGGTTTTTGCTGTTGCCATGGGTGTAGCCAGAAAATTTTTAAAAATGGGGGAAGAGGGTTGCACCTTGATCTCAAAGGAGAGGAGGGGGGGAGGCAGGCAAACGGTAATTTTGCGCTGTATATGCCAAGGAGAAAAAAACATTTCCAGAGGTGGGGGGCACGTTCCCGATGTGCCCACTCTCGGCTATGCCACTGGCCATCATGTTTTATGTAATGTCCCAATCGATAACATCCCCTGGCGCATCGTGTTTTACGCGCGAGGGAGATGAACGCGGCTAAAGCAGAGATAAGAAGAGCCGACCTATCTTCTTTGCACTGAGGGCGGATGTCATAACATCAACCCGTGTGCCAGGCCTCTCATCAATTGTTACTGAAGCAGAGAGGAATGCGCCAACCATGCCTAAGTGACAAGAATGATCGAGCTAGAAATGCGAGAGGGGGGGGGGGCGCTGTTATGAACTTTGACTTTAAGGGTGTGCAACGCTGGTGCACGTGCTATTTAAGGCTGGTATACCCTCCTACCTTGTACTCTCAACATGAACAAACCGCGCAAAAAGTGCTTTGCTTTCTAGAGCGGCCATATAACGGTATACACTGAGCCTTGATCGCAAGGCGGCCACGCCATCGTCGTGCCATTTCGGAGGTCTATTTGTACGTGCTGTTCGTGCTGTACAGACAGCATCACACTGGTTAAGAGCAGCAGAGTGTGTGCGTGTCGACACTGGTAACTGTTGGCCGGGGCTTCTATGTCACGTTAGATACAAGCTTTCGTTGACATTTACATTACAGTACAAGGGCCTAACACGCAGTACAACCATGTTTGGTAGCAGTTCGGCGTCTCTATTTACATGTTTCTTAAGAAAACGCCAGTTGGAGCAGCCAACTGGGCGCTCTAGACAAGTCCGATTCCATCTGTACGTGCATCGGCATGCAAGAGGTGTTTTGGGGGTCTCTGATTGATTGATTAATTGGTATGTGGGGTTTAATGTCCCAAACCTAACATGTGATTAGGAGAGACGCCGTAGTGAAGGCCTCCGGAAATTTCGACCAGCTGCGGTTCTTTAACGTGCACCCAAATCTGAGCACATGGGCCTACAGCATTTTTGCCTTCATCGAAAATGCAGCTGCCGCAGCCTTCAGGGGTCTCTAGTCACCCAAGTTGAACACCGCTCGTGCAGCAAGCTTTTGCGAGTGCGCGCACCTTGAAAATGGCAACCCCGCCACTAGCGCTTCTCACGGATGACATCAAGTCTTACTTGGTATAACAATATAATTTGTTATTACTAATGCAATCATTACTAAGAGCATAAGTAAAATTAACAAATAGTATCTTTTAGATCTGATATCGCGTAACTGAAAAAAACGCTGGAAAAAGGGACAATTATCACTCTAGTTGCAGAACCTTTTGTGCTGTCAGTTATCTAAACGCGAAGCAAATGTTAATAGCACAGAAAGCACACGACCAGCCTCATTATGCCTCGAAACAGCACACGCCAGCTACTTCAAGCGACGCAGCAGCCTCTCCTCCACCCCTCCCTTCAAAACGAAGCAATAAATGCAATGCCGTCATGTTCAACTTTTTTTTTTTCTTTACCGTCAGCTATTGACCTTGGAAAGCGAGAGGCGGACGTGTAACAAGGTGTAGCCGCTTCACAGGCCTTCCGGCATCGGAGCCGCCAGGAATGGCCTCACTATATAGCTGCACGTATTAAAATTGAATGGTGGCTTCTCCAGCCAGAAGGCATAATTTTGAAACGAGATGACATTTAAGAATAAAGCATGCGAGAATATTCAATTCGGACCCTAGCAACTTTGAGTTTGAAAGGGCAGAGTCTTTTAGGGACTTTTACCGCCATAGTAATTATAAACGCGGATGTACTAGTGGAAGGAATTAAGAAACAGCTCTTCTGTATGATGATCCATAAATAAAATATATTAGAGGAAAATTGTCAACGCGTTCCCACCATTTATATGTTCTTCTGCGGACGCATAGCACGGAAAATTTGATTGCGATGTCCAGACATAGTTGTGACGGACATTTTGGCGGCTCGCATGCTGTTATTAGTAAAAATTGCTTTATTACATGCTGCGCAACTCTTCTAACAAACTATCAGCAGCGTTCCTGAAACGGACATCCGCCAGTGAGTTGCCGCCCTGAGACCGAGTCCCTGAGAGCGTCTTTCGTCATTAAGCGGACTTGCACAGCAGAGTTGCGTCGGCATCAGAAATAGCATCGTGAATTTTAGGATGCATGCGCGACTGCTGTTTATTTAGCGAAATAAAATAGGTACTACATGATTGCGACTTTGGTGGCCCGGAGAACAAGGTGCACATGTATTGACGCGTTGGCGTGGCTATTGCCGGTGATAGACATTCTCAAATACAACTTTGGCGTAGTTTGGCGCAATTTTCGGTGATATTATCAGGATGGCACAGTAAACGGATTTGGCGCACTTTCATGCAGTTGGCGCAGGAGAGGGATCACTGACTGCACCAGAGTGGCCAATGCTGCTCTGGTGAGGGAGTGCATTACCCGATGTTGTCGCTAGTGAGCTTGCACCCCCCCCCCCCCCCCAGGCCTTTGTGTGTATATACACACACACACATATACAAATGCTTGCACAAATATACATTAAGTATGGCTGAACCCCCTGAAAAAAATTTCTTGCTGCACTACTGGTTTGCTTTGTGGAACACTATTCCTCTTTCTTTTTAATGATAAGGCATTCTGTATAAAGAGGAAGCAGTGAAATAAAACAATCGTGAACACACTGCAAGTTAAACACCACAGAAGATGCAAACAAGCGCAGACACAAAGGTCGAGTCCTGGCTGAAATAACTATTCAGAAAAACAGGAAAAACATATATTGTCAATGGTGATGAATGATAAATATCATTCATCAACATTGACAAGATATGCCATTATCACTAAATTCAAGACCACCTAGTTTCTGAACAAAAAAAAAAAAAATCATGTGGCATGTCCAGAGACAACATATCTGGCAAGCTGCCTAGTCAATGATACTAGTCAGTAACAAGCATGTTAATGGCATCGCAGTGTGGCAGTTAGGGCTAGTTGGTATGACATGACGATAGCTATAACGCGAGAACAGAACGATGACAGAGAGACAAGAAGAACATGACAAGAAGGACACGAGCACTCGTGTCCTTCTTGTCATGTTCTTCTTGTCTCTCTGTCATCGTTCTCTCTTGTCCTTCTTGTCTTTTTGTCGTCATTCTGTTCTCGCGCTATAACTATTGTCATGGAATTGCAGTGTCTCGAAAATGGGGCCACAGAGCGTGTGACACCATACTTCTCAGTAGTAGAAAAAAGATCACGGTGATTGAGCAACACTGAGAAGCTTCGAAATGCCCATGGGGGAAGATTTCAGGATGAAGAGTAGGTCACTAACAATAAAACAGCCAACTCTCCCCCCCCCCCCCCCATCTTCCCCGCCACGGTGGTCTAGTGGCTAATCGGCTGCTGACTCGCACGTCGCAGGATCGAATCCTGGCTGTGGCGACTGCATTTTCGATGGAGGTGGAAATTCTGTAGGTCCGTGTGCTCAGATTGGGGTGCGTGTTAAAGAGCCCCCCCCCCGGTAGCCGAAATTTCCGGAGCCCTCCACTATGGCACCTCTCATAATCACATGGTGATTTTGGGGCGTTAGACCCCACACATCAAATAAAAAACCAACCAAAATGAAAGAAAATTAGGTGGAGAGCAGGAAAGCTATTCTCGCGATGTCCACTTAGTCGACATGTCTACAGTGACTTCCACTGATTGTGGAATGCACTCATATGTTGCTTTCTGCAGACTTCCGATCATGCTAAGCTTCATCTACAGCAGTTGATGTGAAATGGACAGCACAAAATTATCTGTGCCAGTCCCCCTACTCATGGCGTTTTCTTAATGTAAACCGTGTATCTATATACAAAATAGCCTCAGCCAGTTCTTTTTGCGCAATGAATAACACAACTAGTATTTGAAGAGCATCATCTGCCGCTGCTACTAAATGAGCTGCTCGAGCAGAGGCTCAACAGGGCTGACACCAGAATCCAGTGGTGCGTGCTGCTGGAGTAGAAGCATTTTCCTCAACTTATCGCAAAGTCAAAACACCCAAACAGCTGTGCTTAGAATTCGTATTAGGCAGTATCGTAATCATCGGTGATTTTAAGGGCAAAGCTCCTTAAGGCGTGGGCTGTGCATCCCCTGTATGTAGCCACCTCTCGTTTAGTTATTGCAGTGTTCACTAGATGGCGGTACTTGTAGCTGATGATGAAAAGATGCAAGATGTTATAAACTAGACGGCGGTACTTGTAGTTGATGATGAAAGATGCAAGATGTTATAAAATAGGAATGATGTCACATACGGTGCGTGCCATTGGTGGAAGACAATCGTTCAATTTAGTGTGGCAACGCACGCTAGGGGGAGCATTGTAATAAAATTGAGTGGGCAAAATCTACTGTGAATTCATGGTTTACCAGGTTTACCTCTGGAGCTTCGCCCACTCATCATCATTCACTTCGTGGATATGGTGGCACTTTTTTTGTATAAAAACACCCATACACCGGACTGTTATAACGCATAAAATCGCTCATAGAAAAGCCATATTCAATGCGCCTATTATTTTCAGAATCCTTTCTTCGCAACCTACAGAAGAGGCAATCAACTTACATTGTTCCACTGAATTGATTGATTAACAGTTTTGGATTTTCCTCTTCTCTGCATACTTTTGGATTTGGAATTGCCTTCAGGGATCCTCGCACGAGTTACTATATGATGAATTTGCAGACGAGTTGCCTAATTATGATTGCTAACTATGTGCCTCTGATATTGTTTTTTATGTCATTTGTTTTGTCTTTTGATGCATCACATATTCAATTGACTAACAATGAATACAGTTGGCCAAATCTTTAGCTATCGTGCATGAGTGGCAGTTTTTTCTGTGTATCTTTGCCATACAACTGAACTAAGTTTCAAAAGATGCCCACAAAGCAGATGTCCATGAAGCAATTTTTTGTAACTTTGTTCCATAATACGGCACTGAGAGACAAAACAGTGACAGCTGCACACAATAGTTAAAGTTTTGGCCAACTGTACCTATGCCTGCAACATTTTGCTACACAAGATAGTAGTATATGTAAATAAATGATATAACATAAGTAGGGCGATTCCACATAAATTCGAACAAAGCATGGCTAGTCGACCTCTTAAATTTCTGTCAAACCTTTACATATTGTTGCCTGATCAGTGCAAAGAAGAGATCTGCAATTGGTTTTGCCGGAAAAAAAAATTTTTTTGAACAGTAAATCAATAATGACAAAAAGGTGGAGTGCCACGCTTACCTGCTCTGCTGTTTTTTTTTTTTAATTTGGCGATGAATCACACAAAATATATTAAAGCTATGTATCTCAAATTTGTTCACCTAAATATAGGCATAATTGCATTTATGCTTAATGATATTTTAACTCTCTGTGTAGTGTAGATTTTTTAATGAAAAATCTCAAATTTGACGTTTTTTGTCTAGCTTGCAGGCCTTTATTTCAAAAAGGGCCTATGACGAAGCGGTAAAATTCTGCATTACTTTCTCAGCGTGCTTATTTGTAAAACTGCCAAAGCTTATATTATTAACACTTTTCAATAAAAAGATCTACTAATTGCACTAACTTCAAGAAAAGATCATGCAAAAGAAGCTTCTGAGGACAATTGAAAAAAGAAAACATTTTTGGTATTTTTTTATACTTTCCCCACTTATTCTCCTCCACATCAGCTTTCACAATCAATAAAAATATGTTGCATAATATGGTTTCACTTGCAGTTACAGCCTATCAGAAAATGCCATTTCGCAAGGACAGGAAACGGTAGATCAGCCTTCCTGCCTGCTAAGTATGGAATGCAGGCCTATACTTCAATTTCTTAAAAGGCAAGCAGCACTGAAATAGCTGTCAACTGCACTGAGGATGCCACTTTCGAAATGGTTTGATAACGGGAGCAGCCATGAGTGCCGGGTTAACGAGCAAGCAAGCGCGCACAGTCCATGTTCTGGTGTGAGGAGGGCCCGTCGAATAATGCGCAAGAATGAACGCAACATGTGGGTCTGAAGATATTATGAAATTTGTGATCGCGTACGGCTTTTCAATTTGGCATAATATTGTATTGAGTAATTATGTCTTGCCGCTACAAATAAGCAGTGACAAACACGGCAGTGAATGATTAGAAATTAGTGTCATAAGCATGAAGTTCATTTAGGCATTGCGGCATCAAGCTGTGATGTATAAGTTGACAACTCTGCGAAAAACAGTGTCAGCACCGTAGCAAGAAATAATATTAGACGCAACTAGCAACAAATGTATACAGTTAGTAGTTTCCAAAACTACTTAGCATCATGCTCAATGACAAGTGGTTCTGGTAGACTGCTCCTGGCTTTAATGAAATAAGAGAGGAATGATTCGTTAAATGCACATGTTTTACCACAAAGATGTTGAAGCAGCATTGAGCTGAACATGTCAAGAGATGGACATGTGAGTGTAATAAGTATTGACCCCTGTGGGCCATACAGGTGAGGAGTTACATAGTTTGCAAAAGATACAAATTGTGAGCTTTGCTAGTGAAGAGCACTAAAGGCTGGGGTTACAGAGATAATTCTGAATAAATTCCAGAATATTAAATTTTTAATCTTTTTGGGTACTCCATACTTCCTACATGTAATGTGCACTGTAGTACAAATGAATGTTTTATATACAAGCCTGTAGAATAATCAAAGTTCTTAGTACTAACCTGAGTGTCCATGGCAGTCTTGGCAATGGCTGTTTGTACAATATTTGTTCTATCCAAGCAGTCAATGCAATTGACTCGAAAGACACCCCTCTGACCACATATAAGTCCCTGCTGGTCCAACCTTAGAGTTCAGAAAGAAGGCATTTGTTAAGTTTGCCAGAAATTTAAAAAAATTATTGATACCTCACCAAAGGAAGCATTAAAACTGCATAAAATGCTAGAGAATAATATAAATGTATGCATTTGAAGCTAAAAAAATGTCATAAGGCAATTTTTTGGAGTGATGCCAATTAACATATATTGCTAAATGATGTCACTAAGCAAGATATAAACAAAATGCTCCCAAACCACCTATATCTTATTTCGTGGCAACTTTATTTGCTAGTTTAGGGGCACAGAGCTTCAATTTCGTGCTAATGTTGATGTTTCTCATCTTGGTTCAGAGGTCTTTTTTCAAAATCCTGGTTGTACACCAGACAATGTTCTACCGCAGTAATGTTTACTGCAGGATTAAGTATCAATTCACATCTGAAGAAAGAAGACTCTGCAAGGTCATGGTGAAAATAGTTACCTTCGTAGCAGGATTTCTCCTACAAAGAGTTGTGATACACTGCTTACACTTCACAATTCTTTGCTCACTTCATTTCTTTTGATGTGATTTTACCCACCCAGCAAGTCATAAGATTCTCCACACTTACAATGTTGCTGACTATTTGTGTGATGCAGGCACTATTTATTAAAGAAAAGCTTTACATTTGGTAGCAGGCGAAGATTTCTCAATATCGCCGGAATGGAAATTCTTCTAGAATAAAATGAGGAAGCCCACTCAGATGAATAGAAAGCAAGGCATTAAAACTGCCAAATAAAAGTACATTTAAGAAAGAATATGCATCCAAACAATGAAGATTAAAAAAAAAAAGTCCCTGAACACTACTTCCAGAATCAGCCCACCTTCTGACCACTCTACAAGCCCTTAGCCTCAATATGCCTCCTTTGCTACAGTCAACAAGAAAGCACACTCTGTTTTTGTCCTCACACATGGCATCAAAATGCAGAAAGCACGATAGAGGTACAGGAAACGCCACGCAATATCGGTCAATAAAAGTCAGCTTGTCCATCATAAAGCTGCGTTTCACAGTAAAGCATGTGTGACATACTGTTAGGAAGCATCAAAAGAGTGGAAAGGAGCCACTATTACAGGGCTAATCAAAGTATTTTTTAGTTAAACACACATGCACCCACCAGATTTGTTAAAGTGCAAGCATTGAAACACCTAAAACGTGTAATGGCAGGCCTTCAGAGCTATCTTGGATGTGGCTGCCATGATCTAAGCCCTGGCAATGATAAAAGGGCAAATCTAGTTTTTTTTTCGAACTGCCTCATTTTCAAATATGATTTTGATTCCGTAGAGAGGACAAAAAACTAGATAGTGAATGCATGCATCTTTATGGAGAGGGTGAAATTGTTTAACCACCGCAAAGCACAATCAATCGGCTAAATTGCTTGTAAAAATGCTGAGAGAGTGTTCTGCACCTGCCATCATAGCTCCAAGCAGCACTGACTAACACTCCCAGGTTTTGTATGCAAGGAACCCGCCACGGTGGTTTAGTGGCTAAGGCACTTGGCTGCTGAGCCACCGGAAAGTACTCTGGTGCACTTATTTTTGTGTGTCTGAGAGCTTTGTTTCATTTAATGCATAATTTATATTCATTAAAAAAGTGCATAAGTCTTTTTTTTAGAATTTTACTTGATGTTACTACAAATAAACCATATGTACACTGTCATCCTTTATGAAAGGGAAGATGTAAACGCATGGCCTGCGCTCTGCGGTGGCTGCCCACAGCAATATCAACCGACAGCAAAAGAAAACACGTTGGCTTTTCGTGTCATCTGTTGCCAAAAAAGATAACGAGGCATGGCCGGTAGACAAGCGCCTCTAGGTTACACTTCTCCTCCGCTCAGTGCGTAGTCTACTGCCAACATATCAAACGTTGTGCACAACCACGGCGCAAGCTGCAGTAATCACCTGATATAGCTCGCCAGACAAGCAGTGAGGAAACGTAATCTATAGCAGCGCTTGTCTACCAACCATGATTCGTTATCTTGCTTGGCGACAGACGATGCCCAAAGCAAACATGCTTTTTTCACTTGTAGGTGGATGGTGCTGTAGCTGCCGCAGAGGGCAGGCCACGCACTCGCGTGTTCCCTTTCACAAAGGACGACAGTGTACATAACAACAAAAGGGACTTTTTTTCACATTACGTCCATGCAAAAAAAAAAACCTAGACAATACTTTTTCTTAAAGAATCATCTGAAGAATCAATTTTAGCAATTAAAAAAATACACATTTTTGGACTACATTTTGCGATAGATTCGACCCTCAAAGAGTTAATGACCAACAGTTATCTTGCCTACCGTTTACATGCCCTGCCTATGTCCGTTTTTTTTTTAATTTTTACTAAAATGTCTTTAACAACCACTTGTTCTCTGTACTATGCTCTCTGTACCACTGCCAGTGGCAAGTTATCTTTTCGTCCACTTTTCTTACTTCAAATTTATGTTACAATCACTTCTAATAACATCCACTTTACTTTTCTTGGTATCATTGTCTCTTAGTTCTCATTAAAATTATGCCTAACAGAGAAAATGAGCCCTTAAATTTACACTTCTTTCCTGCTCTCTTCTAGTACCTTAAAGTTACACCTATTATTTTTTTTTTTATCGCTCACTGCGTCGTCCTCAATTTAAGCTTAACCATCTTTGCAAGCTTCCAGGTTTCTGCTCCATAGAAAAGTAATGGTAGCATGCAGCTGTTATAAACCTTCCTCTTGGGTGACAGTCGTGAACTTCCATTCACAATTAGGGAATGCTTGCTGAATGTGCTCCACCCTATCCTTATCCTAGTAACTTTACTCTCATGCTTCGGCTTCGCTGTTACCACCTGTGCTAATTAGACGTATTCCTTTACAACTTCCAGTGCCTTGCCACCCATTGTAAAAAGCTGTTCTCTACCAAGACAGTTGCACATTACTTTAGTTTTATGCATGTTAATTTTCAAACATGCTTTTATATTTTCAATGTCCACTTAAGTAATCATGTGCGGTAATTTGTCCCCTGAGTAACTCATCAATCCAATGTGATCAGCGAATTGCAGGTTACAAAGATACTCTTCATTAATTGTACCCCTACCTGTTCCCAATATAGACACCCTAAGAACCTCCTGTAAGGAAGCAATAAATAGTATTGGGCAGATGATGTCTCACTGCCTTAAACCCTCCTTAATTGGAACTTTGTCGTTTTCATGATGGAGAATAATGGTGGCTAAGAAGGCACTATAGATTTCTTCCAGTATATTTATATATGATTCATTAACACCCTAATTCTACAGTGCCTGTATTACTCCTAATATCTTGATCGAATCAAATGCCTTCTTGTAATCTATGAAAGCTACACATCGGGGTTGGTTATAATCCGTGCATTTTTATATGACCTGACTGATAGTGTGGATGCGGTCTATTCTAGAATAGCCTGTACAAAATCTTGCTAGCTCCACTGGTTAATAACAATACTTGATGGGGTTTAACAGTCCGAAACCACAATATGATTATGTGAGATGCCGTAGTGGCTCCGGAAATTTCAAGCACCTGAGGTTTTTTTCGACATGCACCTAAATATAAGTACACAGGTCTTAAGCATTTTTGCCTCCATCAAAAATGTGGCCGCCACAGCAGAGATTCGATCCGGCGACCTGTAGGTCAGCACTCGAGCACCGTAACCACTAGACCACAGTGGTGGGTTGGTCCATTGGTTGATTAAATGCTAATGTAATGATTGAATTTGCTACTATCTTTGTAAATAGCGTGTAGAGAACTGACAGTAATCTTCTGAGCAGCCTGTAATTTTTCAAGCCCTTGACGTCCTTATAGATTAAAATGATATTAGCATACTTCCATAATTCTGCTACCCTCCCTGTTAAGAGACCGCGTATACAGGGTAGCCAGTTGTGCTAACACAATCTGTCCACTGTCTTTCAATAGATCTGATGTTACCAGATCGTCACTAGTGGCTTTGCCTCTTTGCATACCCTCTAAAGCTTTCTTTACTTTGCATGTTGTTACTGGTGGAGCGTCCATTTCTGGGTTTCTACTAGTACTTATATTATCGCCGTGGTTGTCCCAGCTACTACACAGATCTCTGTAAAGCTCCTCAACTACTTTAACTATCCTATTCATATTGTCACGGGGATTACAAACACATGGAGGAGAGAAACGAGTCTATTTCCAATAATTACAGATAGGTCCGACACCCCAGGGCTGTCAGCATATCGCGCCGCGAGTCCGCCTCTTCTCCATCGATTCGTATACGACGGCGGAGCAATGCCCACTGCCTCGTAACATCACCCCTGGCGGACGAAGCGCCGTCACGCCACCCCTAAGTCAATCCGGACTAGCAGTATAGTAGCGTTTTAGGCGCGACCATGAACAACATCAGTTGGTGGTGTGGCAGCAGATGAGTGTGGTTGAATGGGAGTGATAAGGTAGTCGATCTCGGTGACCTTGCGGAGAACTATGTAGGGCCCTGTGTATCGTGGGAGGAGCTTCTCGCATAAGCCTTCACGTCGATACGGCGTCCAAAGTAGGACAAGAGAGTCAGCAGGGTAGTCAACGTCGTGGTGCCAGCCTAGTGTGCGTGATTTGGCGAGCGACGCGGACTGGAGATGCAACGTCTTCAGAATACATCATTGGTTGGACAGTGTCAGAAGGCAGAAGTGAATCTAATGGCAACGCAGGGTTGCGGCTGTACAGAAGAAAGAACGAAGAATAGCCGGCGGTGTCATGCCTTGACCAATTATATGCAAACGTAATGTAGGGGAGCGTCTCAGTCACGGTGGTCAGCAGAGACGTACATAGACAACATGTCCGTAACAGTTCGGTTGAGGCACTCCGTGAGACCATTAGTCTGAGGATGGTAGGCAGTAGTAAGATGATGTTCGGCAGAGCAGCTACGAAAGATTTCGTCGATAACTTTTGCGAGGAAGCATTGCCCACGATCCGTCAGAAGCTGGCGCGGAGCCCCATGCTACAGAATGACGTCATTCAGTAGAAAGTTTGCGACATCTGT